TGTTTGTCTCTCTCTCTCTCTCTCTCTCTCTCTCTCTCTCTCTCTCTTTGCCCCTGTCTCTTTGACTTCCTGAGCTGCCTGTGCGCGCGGCCCACCGTCGCCCGCAATGCCTGGATCCCAGATACCAGCGGAGCGCGACTGTCCACTGACGCGGTGCCGAGCTGGCCCAGTCTGCGCCCTTGCAACATGCAGCTCAATCACCAACTCGTCGGGCGCCGGAGCTGCGGCAGATCACTACAGGGTGGGCGCGACGCAAGAGCCCGTGGAACGTCGGTTGGCAGCGCCCCTGGCCACGCGGAACTTGCCGCGAAGGCCCCGCGGGGCGCCGCGGGCCTCCGAGCGCGGGCCCGCTGAATCGGGCCGAGGAGTCGGCTGGATCTCCGACCGCGCATATGCAACCCTCGACACACTGGAGGTCGAACTTGGCGGATGCGATGTTGGCGTGACCCCGCCCGCGCATCGCGCGGGATCCATCGGCGCGATCGATCACCTGGGCGGCGACCTGACGTCAAGTTGGACAGCTTCGTCGTTTTCCTGGAGCCCCTTTGCGGGATCTGATCGCAGAGCTGCCGCGACGGAGGCGGTGGCGGCGATGGATCGGCGCGGGGCAGGGAAGTGTTGATCAGCAAATGTTCCCATCTGGCCCCTCAGCTCGGCGACGCCCTGGCCAGCGCGACCGGCAGCGGGGGCGAGGCGTCGAAATTGCAGCCTCTCCGAGGCGGCCCGCGCCTGCGATCGCCCTGCGCTGCCGCGCCACAACGATCGATCTTTCGGGGCCCGGGAAAGGGGGGCTCGGGGCTGGCGGGACAACGTCGAAGGACTGAGATGGCGCGAGCAGGGGGGGGGGGGGGGGGAGCCTACGGCCAGGAATCACCCGACGCGACTTAGACGCGCGCGCCTTTTCAGCCACGAGAGGCGCGCGATCCACGCGTGCCGAAATGGAGAGGCTGCGCGCCCGCCCTCAAAAGCCGCGAAGACCAAACGAAGCCGGGGCGCCCAGGGGGGCAGGGGCCCCGCGCGAGCACCGCCGACCGTAGCGGGGGCGCCTGCAGGACTTGCCCCCCTGCGAGCGCTGGCCGGGGGCGTCGAGAACTCCTGCGACTCGATCGCCCGGGGCGCGCCGAGGCCCACTGAACCTCGCCCTAAGGAGCAGCCCCCCGCAGGCGGCGAGCGCGCCTCAAACGATCATGCCCGCCGAAGCTATCGCCGGCAGGAGTTGCCCCCCGCTGACGCTCGGCGCCGGGGCCAGGAGCCCCGGCGTCAAGTGGCCAAACAATCCGGGGAACGCGCGAGTTAGGTCGCCGAATGCATCGCGGGTTGGCGCTGGACCAATCACGCCCTCGGGCACTTCGGATGGGTCTGGGGAATGTGGAGCAATGCCAGCATCCGCCCTGCCAGGGCCTAAGCAATCGCCTCAAGAGCGCGCGCCAGATCGCGCGAGGCGGGGGCGTCGGCAGCACTCGCCGCAAGAAGCGGCGCACCCGCGCGAAGGGGGGCGGTCGCCATGAGGGATGAGCTGCGCGACCTGCCTCGCGAGGGTTGGCGCGCACGAGCGGTTCAAGCAAGAAGCGCTGATAGCCCGCGCAAAGAAAGGGGGGCCCGAGGGCCGACCCGCCCGCCGAGCGCCCGTCGGTGGAGGCGGTCGCGCAGAATGAGAAGGGCGACGATGAACATATCGCCCTCGACGAAACGCCCGCCACCTGCAAACCGGAAGAGGCCAGCGGGTGAAGCGCATGAGGGAACAAGGTAAAGGGCTCACGCGCAGGGCGCGCGTTGCCGCGAGGCGGCGGCGGCAGCGGCCTCGTTCGGGGAACGCCGCGCGCGAGGTTTGGGGCCAGATCCACGTCGCCGCGGTCCTCGAGGCAAGCATCATAGCCGCTTTACCACGATCAAGCACAACTCAGTTTGTTGTCATTGATTGCGGCTGCGGCAGGCGCTTCATCCCCGTGGGCGCCGCGCGGGGGCCACACGCGCGGACGGCGCCGCGCTCCTCGCGGCCGTCGCCCGCCCAACTTGCCAGCCGAAAGACCTTCGTCGCACCGTCCAAGCGGTCGCCGCTGCTGTCGCGGGCGCCACCGTCTGTCCGAAGGCAGAGACCGCGCCTCGACAGCGTTCCGGGATGCCCGCCAGCGCGCAGGGCGGGCCCGTTCCAGCTTCCGCCGGGGACCGCACCGCCCTGGTGGACACGCTGCGGGCCGCTCGTCACGCTCAACGTGATCGGAAGAAGGCAAGACGCCGCGAAAGTAAGCAGGCAGCCTCCATGAACGCGGACGTCCTTGCCAGCTCGGTTGACGGGAAGCCTCGCGCTGCAGATCCAACCCGTGGTGGCGCGGCCAGCCGCGGCGCGGGGCCGTGGGGTGACTCTGCAGAGCGGCCCGCCCAGGCACCGCCCGTTTCCTCTGCTGGCGATGCTCCACCTGGCGCACCGACAGAAGGTCCACTCGTTCGGAAAGAACCAGCCGATGGTGGCTGCTCCGATGTGAGCCGCTTGTCGTCGCAGCCTACACGCTCTCTGTGAGCCGCTTCCAGCCGAACTCTCAGCAAGGCCGAGGGTTACGACGCCGCTGTGGCCTCCGACGCAGCCTCGGCAGGGAAGAGCCGCGCAGGCCATATACTGCCACGTCTGGTGACAAAATTGGGCGGCGTGGGGAGGGTCCGCCTGCCCCTTCTCAGCGCGAGTCCATCTTGTGCTCTGGTATTTGAATTTAGTGGCTACTAATGTTCATCACTTGATTGGCTGGCGCTGCAAGTACCAAATGCATCTCAATATGCGTAGGATGTTATGTTCCATCTTCTGCAGCCCCATCGGGCGCGTTGCTGCACCAAGTGTCAAGCACCCGAACTCGTTTGTTTCCCAGGGGACAGGCAATCCCTGCTCAATGTCCTTCCCTGTTTTCTGTATGGGTGCTAGTCCATGCGTAGCATGCTCTACCCTACTGGACCGTGAACGGAAATCACCCCCCGCAGGTCGTACAGTGCCGCCGTCAAAGACATTCAGACGGACCATAAAACATAGATTAAGCACATCGCCCACACTTCGAGGCTATCAGAAACATGTTCGACTGGGGAACCAGGACCATCATTGGCCGTCGCGCTCCGACTTCCCGATTGACGTCAACATGTGGGATCATAAAGTTCAGTGGCCCCAGCGCCTAGGTACGAGGTCGAGCAAAACGCGTGCGGGTTAAAGGGACAGCGAGGTGGTTGTGTCTTTTGCTACCTTGGTATACTGCTCTATGTCGGAGCCCCTTTTACCCCGCGCCTTTCCATGCACCTTCCGTCCTGGTGGTTGTTCGTTTTTGGGGGTGGTATGTTGGGTTGCCCAACGCATGCCGCTCCCCGTGGGCGTGTCGCAGCGAGGTGGCGGCGGCAGCGGCAACACACCTCGTTTGGGGAGCCCCGTGCTTGGGGGGTCCGTGGTCAGCGCCAGGCCGGGATGTGTGGTAACGGGGCGGCACTGGCTCACGGACATCGTGTGCACAGCTCGCGGACGAGACCCCCATGACCTTCGCGCCAGTCGCTCGGGATGAGGCGGGCAGCCCGCCCATCCTACCATCGTATGGTTCCGAAACAATCACAAACAGCTCTACTTGAGAAGAAGGACCACCATGGGTCTTCGCGCTCATGGTCCTCTTCAACGCGACTCGGGGCCAGATCCGCATCGTCGCGGTCCCCAAAGTGGACATCATAGCCGCTTCACCACGGCCAATCCATGAATCATGCTCTCACTGATGTTATTCCATGCGTAGCATCTCCCCGGGTGAAAATGGACTACCCGGGGGACCCCAGGCAAAGCGGGTAGCCCCAGGGCCTAAGAATCCAGACGCAATTGTTGTGAGAGAACACATGTGTAAGTGTGTATGTATATACACACACATAAACGTATATGTATACATACCTACATACATACATACATACATACATACATACATACATACATACATACATACATACATACATATATACATACAGACATACATACATACATACATACATACATACATACATACATACATACATACGTACGTACGTACGTACGTACGTACGTACATACGTACGTACATGCATGCATGCATGCATGCATGCATGCATGCATACACCGCCGTGACAAAAGATTATGCGGTTTTATGATATGGTGGAATCTCCTATCCCTCTGAAGATTCCTAACATTGACATGCGTCCTCCGCGATCCCGCGGAGTAATTCGTCTACCTCTTGTTAATTACATTGTTATCTCAAAACAGGATCGGAAATTACTCCGCCCATTCCTGTATGAAAAACGGGACGGGATGCGTGTCCACGCGGAGTAATTTCTACTCCGCCCACTCCGTTGATTCCGCCAGTCTTGAGTCATGTTGAATGAAGACCGCGTAATACTGTTGTCACGGCAATGTATATACATACATACATACACACATACATACATACATACATACATATGTACATGTGTACATACATACATACATACATACATACATACATACATACATACATACATACATACATACATGCATGCATGCATGCATGCATGCATGCATGCATGCATACCTACATATGCATAAATGCATACATACATACATACATACGTTCATTCATACCTGCAGAAATACATACATACCTACATACATACACGTCCCTACATGTACATCTATAGATGTGTATATATATGTGTAGATATGTATCAACCGTTAACGGATGACCGTCGCTGTCACGACCAGCATAATAGTGAGCAAGCATGTCCAAAATCGCATCAAGAACGCCGTTGGAGCTCCATGATTAGACGGAGGCCAAGAGACCAAGCGGGAGCCGTACAGTGCGGGAGGCCTGAGGTGCGATGCAGAAAAACACCAGACAAATAATCATGCATGCAACGTGCATTCGAAAACGAATATTCAACCATGCATTGGCGGAGACCGCCCACTCGTTTGTGTTGTTGGACAAAAGCTTCCGTTCAAGCCCCTGGAAAAAAAGCAAACCAATTCATACCAATTACACATCATGAGCCCACCTTGAATTATCTGGCGTGAGGTTGACCTCTAAAGAAGCGTGGGAAACACCTGCGGTTGCGCATCTTGCCCTTGCCGGCACGCACCTTCTTGGATTCGACGATGCGCTGCAGCTCCTCCTCGGCGGAGGTCTCAAACAGAGCACGGCGGGACTGCAAGGAGAGGCGGGCGAGGAAAAGATAGGAGATTCCTGAAGATTCCTGGCCCCCACGTGGCTCGAGGAAACAGGAGGACATGGGAGGAGGGAGGAGGGAGAGGAAGGAGAGATGGTTGGGAAGAGGGAGTGACGAAAAAGGGAGGAGGGAGGAGGCAGAGGGAGAGGAATCTGAACAACACGAGGAGCATAAGAGGAAGCCCGAGGAGCAAGCGAGGCGGCGAGGAAAACACGATAACGAGGAAGATGCAGAGGATGATAATCCGCTGGCCCCCTTGTGGGGTCACCAGGCTGCAGGCCGAAGTTGCTGCTCCCCGCACCAATTGCAGTTGGAAATCTCCATTGTTACAGTCCCGCTGTCTGCTTCCTACTGATAATTGTTGAAATCCGCGCGAGAGGGCGGAGCCCCAAACCAGCAATTTACCAAGGCCAGATCGCTTGCTCAGAATTCCCGGGGGGGCGTGGGGCGCGAAAAATAAATGAGATCTGCGCCCCCGGGGCCACACTCCCTCGTAAATGACGCCATGCTCGCGTCCCCGAGGCCACAAGACATAATAAATTATACCATGCTGCGTCCCCGAGGCAACAAACCCTCGTAAAGTATACGATGCTCGCGTCCTCGAAGCCATAAAACCCTGGCAAAGTACGCCAGATTCGCATTGCCGAGGCCACGAGTGCTCCAAGGCGCCCGAAAATGGCTCCAAGACGGCCCAAGAAGGCCCAACGAGGCCCCAAGAGCGTTCCAAGAGGCCTCGATAGAGAGGCCAAAGAAGCCCAAATCGTAGATTTTACCGGAAAGCATGATCAGCTTTCCGTCGCTCCAAGACGGCTCAAGAAGCTCAAAATACTGCCCCAAGACAGCCCAAGACGCCTCCAAGAGGGCTCCATGACGGCCCAGAGGGCTCCAAGATGGCCCAAGAAGCGCTCAAGACAACCCAAGAGAGCCCCAAAACGGCCCCAAGAGGGGCCCAAGCAGGGGACCACGAACCGAACATTCGATATGTGTGCCCAGAAAAGCCTCCAGGAGGCCCCAAAGGCCGTCAAGAGGCCCCAAGAGGCCCCAAGAGGCGCCCAAGACGCGCCCAAGAGGCCTCCAGGAGGCACAAAAGACACCCCACGAGGCCCCAAGAGGCCCCCAAGAGGCGCCCAAAACACCTCCGAGGGGCCCCCGAGAGGCTCCCCACGCCACCCCAACACATCTACAAGAGGTCTCAGACCCACAACCCAGGCACGGTGGCGGGATGGGCCGAAGGCCACTAGGATAACACCAAAGTCTCCGTATGCGCTGATGATTCCTATCCGCCCCCGAATGATGTTCCCAGATGCGCCAAGGCAGCGCCGAGACGCACCGGCGCGACGCTTATATATATATATATATATATATATATATATATATACATACATACATACATACATACATACATACATACATACATACATACATACATACATACATACGTATATATATATATACATACATGTATATATATACATATATATATATACATATATAAACATATGTATATATACATACATATCCCATTATGATAGAGAAGGGACGGCGGCCAGGGGCGAAGCCCTTACGGATGATGGGAAAGGAAGATAGCGTAGAACATCCGCCAGGGTACCTTCAGAGAAAGTAGTGGAGCTTCTCAAGGCCATAAAGAAGTGAGCTTCAACAGGATTGTAAGATTCTTCAGGGCCATGTTAACCAACATGTCCAAATCCTTGGGCGATCCTGGGCGTTCCTTGCACGTGCCACTTGCAGCTCGGGCCGCTGAGACGCAAAACCCGCCATAACCGACCCAAGCTTTCACTCAAAGCCTTCCAAGAAGCACTCACCAAGGCGCTGGGGATTTCTTGGAACATTAGTTTAGATCAGGATCGCCCATGCACAGGCTATGCATCGGCCTATGGTAGGCCTATGCATAGCCTATGCATAAGCCTACGAGCGCTTCGTCCGATAGGCAATATACTACCCTATGCAACGGCCTATGGTAGGCCTACGCATGGCAAGGTTTCACTCTGCGCCCGATTCGGCCGAGGATGGGTCACCACCGCCAATCCGGAGGCAAAGGTTCCCCCCTGCGCCCGATTCGGCTGACGATGGGTTACCACCGCCAGCCCGGAGACAAGGGTTCCCCCCTGCCCCCGATTCGGCCCAGGATGGGTGACCACCGCCAGCCCGGACGCAAAGGTTTCCCCCTGCACTCGGACGCTGTCGTCCTCCTCAATTCCTTCTCCTCTCAGGTCGCCCTGTGTTCTGGGAGCCTTGGCAACGACAATAACATTGTTCAAGGGAACCCTCGTCCGGGCCATATTCAAGCCTGAGGAGCCCCAAAATGACGACGGTAACAAGTTTGCCGACGAGCAGCTCGGCATACACCATTCGGAAGTGCGAGCCTCATTGGGAGGGGTGGCCAGTGAGGGCCAGTGGCAGGCCAGCTGGGAGTCGAGCTCCCAATACATGGGCGGCCTTTTCCGAGCGCGAGCTGGAGACGCTCCCGCGATCCACACCCGGCCGGGGCTCCCGGTCGACATTTCCTCCAGATTTAAGCCTCAGGAGACCAAAAGCGACGACGGTCACAAATTGTTGGATGACCCGCTCGGATTACTAACATGAGATGCGGGCGGGCCCCATGGGGAGGGGGTTCCCGCCTGAGACTTCCTCGCAATCCACTCACAGGCGAGGCTCCAGCTTGATACTTCCATCCTCCATACTCAAGCCTCAAAAACCCAACAAAATGACGACGGTTACAAGTTTTTGGATGACCCGCTCGGATTACTAACATGAGCTGCTGGCCCAATGGGGCGGGGGCTCCCGCCTGAGACCTCCTCGCAATTCACTCACAGACAAGGCTCCCGCTCGAGACTTCCTCAAAATGAGCGCTTGTGAGAGAGAGATAGAGAAAGAGAGAGAAACAAAAACAATGCATTGAGAAATGTGTGCAATGCAGATGACACTGTTGATGATGATTGTGGTGGTGGTGGTGTTGTGACGAACGATGGTCTACGAACATGATTGGATGGGATAGTGACGATGGTGAAGATGGTGGTTATGAAAGTGATGATGATGATGATGATGATGATGATGGTGGTGATGGTGATGGTGATGGTGATGGTGATGGTGATGGTGATGATGATGATAATGATACTGATGTTGATGCTGATGTTGTTGATGATTATGATGAGTGGTGAATGATAGTGATGAGGGACTGAGCCAATGAGTCATGAGTGAAATTAACGTAAACAGACGATGATTATGAGGACGAGGATGATGATGATGATGATGATGATGATGATGATGATGATGATGATGATGATGATGATGATGATGATGATACCGACGATGAGAAAGAGGAGGAGGAGGAGGATCACGGTCATGATGGGATGGTGGCAGTGGTGGTGATGATGAAGATGATGGTATGCTGATGATGACGATGATGATGAGGATGAGGATGATGGTGATGGAGATGATGACGGTCATAGTAATCGTGATGAGTATGATGTGTGATGATGGAGGGGGTGGGTGAGAGGACTGCGTGGGGTTCGCAGAGAAAACAAGAACCCCGCTCGTTGTGGGGAAAAATCACGACTGGAGCAGACCCTATCTGTCTGAGTCATTTTTCGAGCTGGATCGATCTGTGAGAGTCCCAGGGCCCGCGATTGAGCGAAAACGCCCGTCGTGACAAAACTGCAACGCCCGGATCTCAGGTCGGGGCATCCTCGACGCGGGCTCCGCGCTCTGTGGCGCGCTGCCCGCGGGCCTGGCGGGACCTCCGAAGGCCGGCCGGGGCCTCTCTGAGGGGCTGCGCTCGTCTCGCCTGGGCCGCACGCACAAGGGGGCAGGAAGAGGGGGAAGGCTTCTAAGCAGGAGGCTGCTCCTCAGAAGGCGCTGGCCCTACATCTGCAGAGAAGGCCCGCGCCTTCAAAGAAGCGGGGGTGCTTGTGTCGGGGGCGCGCAAACATGGTTAGCGATCTATGGATTTGGCGCGCTGTCGCCACACCCATGGATCGGGGGAGTTGCCCTCCCCAGAATGTAGCCAGTGCCGCCTCGTTCGGCGGCGGAAATCCGCGATTTCCCACGGAAACGGGACCCGTCGCTAATCCACGCCCCCTTGATCCATGTTTGCGATCGCCTGAAAGGAAGCGGGGGTGCTTCTAAGAAGCCTTCCCCCCTCACCCTACCCTCAGGTCGGGCACGTTCCCCTGCAGGCGAACTCCGTACGAACATTAATTCAATACCCCACAAATATACAAAAACGATCAAATCATGCTCCAAAAATCGTCCCCACAGTAGTTTTGGACTGTCTCTGAATATCCCTCCTGTAGAGGGACACGCCCGACTCGGGCACGCGTTTGGCGTGTAATCGTCTGCCCTTCGTCGTCCCCCCCTTCCCCCTCCTTGCGCGCTCCCGGCGCACCTTTGGCGCATCCGGCCCCTTTGAGAACGCGCTTGGCATGCAACCGTCTGCTGCTGCTGCTGCACGCCTTTGGCGCGCCGCCCCTCCTCTCTTGCCCACGCGCTCTTGGCGCACGGCTGCTCCAGAGGGGGCACGCCCGACTCCACCCCACCCCCCCCCTCCTGCGGGGCTCGGGTCGGGCGAAAGGGGGGGATAGCAAAGGGGGGGTTTGAGAATCAGCTCACGTAGCTGATTTTCCCGGCGCCTCCCGGCGCCGGAGGCCGCTATGTATCGAGGAATGGGCCCCTCGGCGAAGCCGAAACCAGCTGCATGCAGCAAATTTCGTAACCCCCCCTTTTCCAATCCCCCCCTTTCTGAAGGGGCCCCAGGACACACAAATAAATACACACAAATAAAAAGGTTGCCCATATTTTCCCATATTTTCTGGGTTTCTGTCTTCCCCCCCACTTCCCATATTTTCCCATATTTTCTGGGGAGTCGAGGATTAATTGTGTCTGTGTGTTTCTTTTCCTCCTGACTTTCGCCCGGCCCGAGGGGCTGCGCTCGCTCCGCCCCTGCGCGGGCCGCCCTCTGCCGCTCGAGCCCCTGCGCGGGGGGCGGGGGCGGGAGCCCGCCGTGCAGCCGATGGAGTTCAGCAGCTCCACGGCCTCGGCAGCGGCGCCCCGGCACCGCCGGGCGGGGCCGAGGCTGGTTGCTGGATTCAAGAGTGAAGGGGAACTGGAACACACAAATAAATACACACAAATAACAAAAAAATCCCCATATTTTCTCATATTTTCTGGGTTTTTGTCTTCCCCCCCACTTCCCATACTTTCCCATATTTTCTGGGGAATGGAGGATTAATTGTGTCTGTGTGTTTTTTCCTCTCCTGACTTTTGGAATCAAAAGATTCAAAGAGCTGGTTTCGGAATTCAAAAACCACCCACTGGGAGAGAGAGAGCTCCCCGACATTATCCAGCCGGCCCAACAACAGAGGGGAAACTAATCGGGCGCCCGCTGCGCGGGCGCCGACGCCAAGGATATGTGGACGCATACTGCCACGAAGGAGGAGATTGTGACCAACGCCCTCGACGAAGAATGTGTCGATCTATATTTCGGGGGGGGGGGCCGAAAGGGGGGGATGGCAAAGGGTAGGGTAGAGAATCAGCTCACGTGGCCGGTTTTCCCAGCGCCTCCCGGCGCCGGGAGGCGCCTCTGGCATCGAGGAAGGGGTCCGGCGGCGGGGCCGAAACCCGCGGCATGCAGCAGATTTCGTACCCCCCCCCTTTCCGTATCCTCCCCTTTCGTTCGGCCCGAGATGCGACGCGTGGCTTCGCAATGTGCGTGCTCGATAACAGCTCGGATACCCGAAGAAAAAAGAGGCGGCGGCAGCGGCGGCAGCGACAAAAGCTCCCGCCTGGCCAGAGAGGTGGTGTTCTTTTGTTTGTCTTCGGGCCCGATGGGGGATGGGTTTAAGCGAAGCGTCTAAAATATCTTGCTAGTATTCTTTTTCCCATGTTTCGTGCTCTCCATCATCCGTCCTCGCCACTTTGCCACGACCCCCTTTTCCCTTTCCCTGTGCTCCTCTTCCTCCTCCCAGTCATTCCTTCTCCTTCCTCCCCCTCCTGGCTCCTGCCTCCTCGCTCTTCCGTCTCCTCCTCACCCTCCTCGCCCGGCGCCCGAAGGGGAGGAGATTTCGTTACGTCATGCTGCCATCAAGGTGCGCGAGAACGCGCCGCCACACCCAGGACACCAGGACACTCGACGCGGCATGGCCTTGAGCGCACCACGCGCGCCTACGCTGGGATGGGCAGGGACTCTGAGCTCCGGGCGGGCCCGGAGCGGAGGCGCGGCGGCGGGAGGGGGGGACAGGAGCAGGCGGGGGGGCGACAGGGGAGCAGCAGCAGCAGCGACAGGAGACGATGGGGAGGAGGAGGAGGAGGAGGAGGAGGAGGAGGAGGAGGAGGAGGAGGAGGAGGAGGAGGAGGAGGAGCAGGAGGAGGAGGAGGAGCAGGAGAGGAGCAGGAGCATGAGCAGGAGCAGGAGGATGATGAATAAATGATGATGATGATGATGATGATGCTGATGATGATGATGATGATGATGATGATGATGATGATGATGATGATGATGATGATGATGATGATAATGATCATCATGATGATGATGATGATGAGATGATGATGATGATGATGATGATGATGATGATGATGATGATGATGATGATGATGGATGATGGATGAGGATGATGATGATGATGTTGATGATGATGATGGTGATGATGATGATGGTGATGCTGATGATGATGACGACGATGATGATGATGATGATGATGATGATGATGATGATGATGATGAGGAGGAGGAGGAGGAGGATGAGGAGGAGGGGGGAGGCGAAGAAAAAGTGTACACCCAAGACGCATCGATGATGTTGCAATAAACCCTTCCTCCAAGTTCCCTCTTCATCGGTCTCTTCAAGACTTTGCTGTCAGTGCGGAAAATGCTACATTGGAAGCCGCCCGTCTGAGAACCCTCCTTCGTGCCCAAACACAACTCCTGGGACTTCAACGCCGTGAATCAACGTGACAATTGCGTCCTGGCAATCCTGAATCGTGCCAGAACGCCCTTCCTGCGACCTCAACACCGCGAATCGACGTGACTGGTGCGTCCTGACACTCCTAAATCGAGCCAGGGCACGATTCTTGGGACTACAACTGTACAAATCCTTGGAACTGCTGCAAACTCTTGAAATGAATGTGCGAAGCGCTGCGGCGAGAGCCACGTTTTGAAAAGGAGCCGCTCTTCCTCCTGGAAAGTGCTGCAAACGTGTAAAACAGATGTGCGAGGCGGTAAGAGGCGAGAACAACATATTGAACACGACCCGCCCTCCATCCCTGAAACTGCTGCGAATGTTTGAGCCGACTGTGCGCGGCTCTGGGGCAAAGACCACATTTGAAAACACCCGCCTTACATCCGTGGAGATGTTGCACATAGTAATGACAAATGTGCGCGGCGCTAAGGCGATATCCACATGTTGAGGAGGGGGGGCACGCCCTCCAGCCCTGAAGGCGTTGCAAACTCTTCGGTGAGTGCGCGCGGCGCTGAAGCGACCGCTACGTTTTGAAAACGGCCCGCCCTTTTTGTTTGAAGCTGCTGCAGATTGGAAATTTCAGGATCATCAATGGTGGGGAGGTCTCAGGCGAATGTGCGAATGCGCGCGGCGCTGAGGCGAGAGCCACATGTTTGACACCGGCCGCCCTTCATCCTTGAAACTGCTGCAGCCATTTGAAAACCATGAAAACGCCGCAGCCCTCCATCTGTGAAAGCGTTGCATACTTCAAGCTTCACCATCATGAAGGGCGAGGGGATCTCGAGCGAAAAGCCTGGCCCGCCGTGCCAACACATCTGGAGGCGCGACAGGGAGGAGTTGGTTATAGGAAAAGGAAGGGAGGAGGAGGAGGAGGACGACGACGACGAAGAGGAGGAGAACGAAGAGGAGGACGAAGCCGAGGAGGAGGAGGAGGAGGAGGAGGAAGAGGAGGAGGAAGAGGAGGAGGAAGAGGAGGAGGAGGAGGCATAGGAAGACGACGAAGCGGGTGCGGGAGGAGGGGGAGAGGGGGGGAGGCAGGAGCAGCGGAACGAGGAGAAGGGGACATGGGGAATCGGCCGCGGCGCGGCAGCGGGGAACGCACCCTCGGCAAGGACGCAGGCACCGGGAGTCGGGGTCGGAGCCTGCTTGGTCTTCTGGATGGACTCCGCGCCGTTCGACACGACCAGCGGCAGCTCCTCTTGCGGCGCGTGGGTAACGCGCCCATCTGGCCGCAGGGCGGGAAGGCCCCGACTCTGCTGCTGCTGGGAGGACGAAGGGAGGGGGAGGAGGGAAGAAGACAAGGAGGAGGAGGTGGAGGAGTGGGAGGAGGAGGAGGAGGAGGAGAAGGAGGAGGAGGAGGAGGAGGAGGACCAGCACGCAGCTGCCAGTGGGCGGCGGGGGAGGTCGTCGGGTGTCCAACTGCCTTAGTGGTTCTCGCCTTGGCGCCGCGCACACTCGTCTTCAAAGCTGCACGGGATCGACGGATGAAGGGCGGGTCGTCTTCAAAACGGGGCTCTCGACGCAGCGCCACGCACCTTCGCCTCAAACGTTCGCCAGAGCTTCGCGGATGGAGGGCGGTTCCTTCTCGACGAGTGGTTCTCACCTGAGCGCCGCGCCCCTTCGCCCCAGAAGGCTGCGACAGCCTCACGGATGGCAGGCGGGCCCTTCTCGAACCTGTGGCTCCCGCCTCGGCGCCGCGCACGTTCATCTTCAAACTGTCCACGAGCTCCACGGGTCGAGGGCTGGTGGTTTTCAACATGGGGCCCCCACGCTCTCGTAGCGCACACAGTCGACTGGAAAACGTGCGAGAGCCTGGCGGATGGAGGGCGGGCCGTCTTCTACAAGGGGCCCTCGCCTCTGCCACGGCCTCCGGGATGGAGGGCGGTGTCTTTTCAACATGCGCTTCTCGCCGTGGCGCCGCGCACGTTCGCCCTTAACCGCTTGCAACCGCTTCGCGGATGGAGAGCGGGTCGTTTTCAAAATGTAGCTCTCGCCTCCGCACCGCGCACATTCTTTATCATGTGCGCGGTGCGGATGGACTCCGCGCCGTTCACGAACGGATGTCGTTGTTTGATATGATCTCGCCGGCTTCGCCGAACACATTCGTTTAGAGCTGCAAAAAAAACAACGGATTCTCATGGCGTGCGTTCCAGGAAAGGCGGTCTGGCGCGATTCAGAACTGTCAGGGCGCAGCTGTCACGTTGAGCCGCGGTGTGTTAAAGTCCCATGAATGGTGTCCTGACACGACTCAGGGCCGCCAGGACGCAACAGTAAAGTTGATTCGCGGTGTTGACCTCCAAGGAGTGGTGTATTGGCACGATTGAGGATTACAGGCAGTCTTCTCACGGGGCAACTCCAACATACTCGAACAGTGGAAATCTATTGATGTGGGGACCTATGACAAAAGGGAACTTGGAGGAAGGGTTGTGTTAACATCGTCGATGAGTCTTGGGTTTACACTGGTCCTCCTCCTCCTCCTCCTCCTCCGCCTCCTCCTCCTCCTCCTCTTCCTCCTCCTCCTCCTCTTCCTCCTTCTCTTCCTCTTCCTCACCTCTTCGCCGCTCCTCCTCCTCCTCCTCCTCCTCCTCCTCCTCCTCCTCCCCTCTGCTCCTCCTCCTCCTCCTCCTCCTCCCCATCCTCCTCCCTCCTCCCCATCTTCCTCCGCTTCCTCATCCTCCTCCTCCTCCTCCTCCTCCGCTTCCCCCTCGCCTCCTCCTCCTCCTCCTCCTCCTCCTCGCCTCCTCCTCCTCCTCCTCCCCCCCCTCTTCCTGCTGCGGCGACGGGCGGAGAGGAGGCCCCTGGCCAACGGGAGGCGGGTGCTCCGAGATCGCGCCGATGCGGTGGCCGCGGGCCATCACCTTGGCCAGCGCGGGCGGCGCGCGAGCGCGGCCCAGGACGGTCGACCAGTGGGCGCGCGGCTCTCCGACCCCGTCGCCCGTCCACACCAGTGGGGGTGGAGAAGGGGGAGAAGGGAAACAGGAGCCTCCTCCTTCTGGGGTCCTCCCCCAACTCCTCCTCCTCCTGCTCCTCCTCCTCCTCGCCTTCTTCGTCGTTTTCTGACTTTGATCGTTACGAGTATGATTCGTAGTCGTACCATAAATATTAGCATTAGTAGTATTAGCATTGTTGTTCCTCGCCTTTATCGCTTGAACCTTAGCACTCTGCTTAGTACCAGTATCTTGTTAACAAACTGTCATGAGTCGACTGCGTCTGTTTCTCATCGGTATCAGTATCAGCATGAGTGTGATTATTAGTCGCATGATTACTAGTATTGCCGATAGGGGTAATTAGCATTAGCAGTATTAGTGTCGTTACGATTAGTCGTAGCAGTGGTAGTAGTAGTAGTGGTAGTAGTAGTAGTAGTAGCAGCAACAACGGTAGTCGTATAGAAGTGGTAGCCGTGTAGTAGTAGCAGTAGTAGTAGTAGTAGCAGCAGCCGTAGTATTAGTAGTAGTAGTAGTAGTAGTAGTAGTAGTAGTAGTAGTAGTAGTAATAGTAGTAGTAGTAGCAGTAGTAGTAGTAGTAGTAATAGTAGTAGTCGTCGTAGAAGTGACAGTAGTAGTAGTAATAGTAGTTGTAGTAGTAGTAGTAGTAGTAGTAGTAGTAGTAGTCGTAGTAAGTAGTAGTAGTAGTAGTAGTAGTAGTAGTAGTAGTAGTAGTAGTAGAAGTAGTTGTAGTAGTAGTAGTAGTAG